AACTATAAAAGAAAATGTAAGAATAGATCTATCTGACTATTTCATTTTATTATTATTATTATTATTTTTTTTAAATATTTTTTTTATATCTATTTTGTATCTATTGTCAGAATGACTTTCTATCCTGCTCAGCTCGTGTCTAGTTCAATGCACAGCCAATGCTTTCAATTATGTAAGCAATACCGTAATATTGTAATACCTCCTTCACTTTCAATACCTTTTATGCCGTCTGGGCTGCTCCACAGAGATAAATTTGTTCACTGCTCAGAAATTGCAAAGCAGAACAGGTTAAGGGAATTCAATAGAATTGAAAATGCAAGCCGATGCTTTTCATTTCATTCTCAATTTGCTGTCTCAATTTCAAATAAGTCTACATATTTTCAGTTGAAGCAATAAGCAAAATCGCATAGAAAAAAAATTTCCACACATATAAAAATATTTTTAAAAACTTTAAAAATAATAAAAAAAAAAATTTATATATATATATATATATATATTCCTTGTTATTTTTATGTATGTTCATATATATAGTCAGCTGCTATCTGCTATTCACGAGCTGAGCATAGCCCGCATAGTCCCAAAACTGAGATATCAGCAAATATGAGTTTTCCCTTTCAATTCGACGTTTTTCTTTTCTTTATTTTTCGCTTTTTTCGGTGTTTGCTGCGCCTTTTGCTGACAGCCGCTTTTGAAAAGCAAATAATATGAGTTTCGGTTTATATTACACAGCTCGCTGCCTAAATTTTTGTTGCTTTTCTCTTTACATTACTGGGGGTATTTCTATGCTCATTCACGGAAATGAAAAGAGAATATGCGTTTTGTGCAATGTCTGGATTGTCTATACGGACAGACGCTATTGAAGTTAGACACTAGAGAAATTTGTTATATGTTCTTTAACTATAAAGTGTTTCCAAAATGTTACAACAAAATTATTTATATAAATATCAACGAGGGCGTGGCAAATTGCAAAATAGATTTGACACCAATTTGAGCTGTGAATGAGTATTCTGCAGTCGGTAACGCCTGACTGCAGGCAGCGTTCTGACATATTTTCTTTTTGCTGTTTTTCTGTCTTTTTGTACATTTAGCTGCATTTGAATGAAGTCGACAACGGCGTCAACGTTTATGCACGAAATGTGTTTTTAATGAAGCCTTTTAACCAGTTCGCTTGCCCCGGCCTAATAAAGACAGCGGCGACGCGAGCAGCGCGTTCTGTCAGCCGCCCGTCACTTATTTTATGGTATATATTTTCCCCTCTCTCCCGCTCTGATTTTGTGCCTTTGCCCATTTATATTTTATTTTTACATTTTTTGTTGTTCGTTTTTCTTCCCTTTTTCAATAAATCGCAAATGGGCATTTGTCCTTGCAACGGGTAGAAATGTGCGAACTGTGTGAGCTGTGAGCCGTGGGAAAGGGATTGGGACTGGAACTGGAGCTGGGACTGGGTCTGAGGCTGTTGCTGTTGCCCGAAGTTTATGCAAAGTAGCTTTTAATATGTTTACGACTAAACATATTTTGGTGCGAGAAGGCGGACCGGGAGGCTGGCTGTGCACAGGTTAATGGCGCCCCGCTCTTGCTTTTATTATACAATTTTTAATAATTCCTTTAAAAAACGATGCTGAAGCAGAAGAAGGAAATATTAAACTTTAATGCTGCAGCCGACGCCGTTTACATTTGGCCAACAACAAAAAATAAAGAAACATTTTTTTATTGTAATTTATTTGCTCAGCTGCGTGGCTATATTTAAGTGGCTCAACTTTAAATGAAATGTTAATGGACCAACACAGTGGCAGATAGACCGAGAGACAGACAGGCAGACAGGCAGACCGATGCCTGCAGTTAGTTTATTAAATTTCTTAAATTTTAAATAAATATATAAAGTGCCTTTGTGCACGAATTAATTAAGATTTAAGCCGCTTAGAAGTTCGGCTTAAGCACACTTGACTAGGCCATGGCTGCAAGGCACAAGGCACAAGGCACAAGACACAAGACCCAGGAAATCCGGCACGTGTCACGTGTCGCCTCAAGTTTGAGCAGATGTAAATGAAAATACACTTTAATAGGCTTTAAGCGCTACGTTTTTCGTTTTTGTTTCCAAATAAGATTAAGCCTTTGGCGTATGTGTGGCGTATGCGTAATATTACGTATACGCCGCATCGAGCCGACGCGCGTGTTAATTGTGTTAAAATTACGAGAGGTCCACATCACGTCGTTGGAGTGCAATGCCTTAACGACCGCCTGCATACATAAAACGCAGCTGACATGGCCCTGGAGCTGGATCGTTGGGTCCGGGTCGGTTCGTGTCTATAAAGCGCAAGCCCTAGGCGCGCGCGCCCAAATGTAGGCAATAAAAAATGTTTAAACCCTAAATTATTGTCAACGGAGAGCAGCATGAGAGAGAGTGTGTGAGAGAGAGAGAGAGAGTATGAGAGTGAGAGGCAGAGATGCATTATGCTTAGCTATAGCAAATGACATGGCAAGCCAAAAGTTTGCCGCTTACGCTCGGCACATTGTTTGCAGCAGCGAAATATGCGAGAAGCTTGCATGGGATGGGTCGGCGGCAGGGGGAGGTACTTTGTGGGCGGGAATGCGTGACAGGAGACGCCACTTGATGATGAATGGATAGCACCTACGGCAATGTCGTTGACTTTGGCAAACAACTTGAAGAGCAGCCTGTGCTCTCACTCTGTCACTCTTCCTCTCTCTCGCTCTCTCTCTCTCTCTCTCTCGCTCTCTCTCTCTCTGTGGCTGTGTATCGCTGCGCTTGAAGCTTGGGCACAAGTTTTATGGCATTCACTACTTTCAGCTGCGTGCGTTAATCTTATTTGCTACAACATTTTCGTACGCTCGGCTTGTGCGTAAATAAATGTAACAAATGTCGCCAGCTGCGAGCGTTATATATATTATATATACATATATATACATACATATGTATGCATATAGTATATAGTATCGGCTGTGGGGCAGTTTGGCGATTTTAGCGGCATATTTTGTCTACTAAAAGCATGTCAGGGATTTTCGCCTTACAATAAAACGTGGCACTTGGTCTATGCATAAGTCAGCCTTCAAAAAAAAAAAAAAAGAGGAAGCCAGTTCCTGTGCGTGTGTGTATGAATGTGTGTCAAAGTTGTAGCCAAAGCATGCCAAGTTTCTGCTTTTGGTGCGTGTATTGAATGCAAAATTCGAAAGTTAAATATTGCACGCTCAACTGGCAAAAGAAGACAACTTTATCTTGCCTTACACTCACTCTTTCTTTTCGCATCTCTTCGCGCCTTTTCTTTGTTTCGTTATCTGCTTAGCTCTAAGGCAATGGCATATTAAATTTAATTAAAGCGAGAAGCTAAAACGCAAATGTGATTACAATTTCAACTCCAACTGGAACTGGAGCAAAAACTTGATTTGACAGCAAACAGGAAATCTGACAACAACAAAATCTTGGAGTTCACTTGATATACACTGGCTTGTCAGCTGACTAGATACCGTAGCCCAGCCTGTCGTGCCTCTCACTCTCCCACTCGCTGTCTGTCGAGCAACATATCTTTGCATATTTGATGGCGCATAATGGCGCAAAAAATTGTTTACATGCATAAAAAATGTTTCTTTGCATTTACATAATTTTTTTTGACTTTTCAAGTCGCATTTCACTTCCACAGTCTTTGCACCTTTGCACTTGTTTGTGGCAGGCGTAAAGAAATAAAATATATTTTAAAATATATATAAGCTCAAAATGCTTGTGCTAAGAATTTAAGTCTAGCTACGCATTTTTTTGCTTTGTGTGCTCATTCAAGAAAATGTGAAATGAGTATATTGGTTTTGTTGTATGCATATACGCTTTGCTATCAGTTCGTCTGTTTGTATTATTGAAACTAGAGAATTGGAATTTAAAACATACACTCGAGTATACCCTCGAATTATCCGCCCACTAGAAAAACGGATCTGACAGCCTTTGGGCCATGAATCAGTATTCTTCAGTAGGCAACGCACAACGTTCTTACCCGCTTTTTTTTTTTTTTTTTTTTTTGTTTAGGTCAGTTAAGCTATTTTGGACAATTACAAATTCATAGCCTTTTTTGTTCATGATTTTCTCGTTAGGCCCTTAAAATGGGTTTTCAATTACCAAATTCTAGGAAATCGACGAGCTACTAGTAGCTCTACGGCAGCTACCTTCGCCTTGGAGCGAACACCCATTGCAATTTACATTGTTTATGCATATTCACTTTGTACAGTTGTGGTACTTCAGCAAAATCCTCTTAACTTTGTAAACCCTTCTACCTTTTGGTTAATTAAAAATGTTTTGGGCTTGAGCTAAAAGTTCTTATTATTTTTAATAACGTCTTTATTATATTATAATATATTTTTTTTATGAGTTTTATTATACAGTTATTATAATATTTTTTTTTTTTTTTGTATTGTACACTTTAACATGCATATTAATTATTATGTTTTATTTCTCAATTTCAAAATTTTATATTTCGTATTTATGTTATGTTTAACAAAATCAAAACCAAATTAATTTTTTTATTTTAATTTTTATATATTTTTAATGACTAATTTTGATTATTATTTTTATTTTATTAATTCAATTTTCAATTCAATTATTAGGTTACTATTTAATTAAAATAATTTTTATATAAATATTTTTGTCAACCAAATTTAATTAATTTGGTTTATTTGTTTTGTCTATTTTATTTTTTATTTTCTATCATTTTTCCATTTTATTGCATTAACTTCTCCTGTTAATTATTAATATATTTCTTTTTATAATATAAATAATTTTTAAACATTTAAGAAAGAAATTTCTTAATATCTTTTTTTTTTATTATGTATTTATATTTATTTGTTTAAATTTATTATTCATCGCTTACTTCAAAATTTTCTTTTTTTATATTTATTTAATATGAATTTATCAATAACTTGTATAAAAATACAAACAATATTTTTAACGTCCTATGTAAACTTATTTTCTATTTTATTTTATAAATTTCGAATTTACTACTCACATTTGTTCGACTGCTCTGCAGTTGTTGTTGTATTTCTAACTGGAACTTGCTGCACATGCCACCACATAAAAAACTCAGAAAGGTTTTTTTTTTTTTTAATTTTTTTTGATTTTTGATATTTAGCATAAACAATTTGTAACCGGCAAAATTAGGAAAGTGGCTCGAGCACACACTTGCAGCACCGCTAAAACCGTTTAAAGTTAGCTCCTACAACGTACTCGCAAGCACACACAATCACACACACACACACAAACTCAGACACATGCAGTGAATATAAAGTGAAATTTTTGTAGGGTGCACACGTGAAGAGGAGATTCGAATGAAAGCGAAGGAACGTCCAGTTGCGCGCGTTGCCATCGACAAACTGATGATAAACGAAAACTGTTTATCAGCAGCAAGCGTCGGCAGAGCACCCCAAAAACGCGCTGCCTCAGCTGACGTCGCAGCAGCAGCGGCAACAGCAGCGGCAGCAGCATCGACTGGCTACGTCACAGCGCATATGTGAGCAGCCGCCACAACAGCAGCAGCAGCGGCAGCGGCAGCAGCATGGGCTTCGTCGTGTTTATCGTCGTTGTCGTCGTCGTCGTCGTTGTCGTCGGCTCGTGCTGCGCCCGAAGACGCATTTCGTTAGTCAAGTTAACGCCGTGTGTAAATGAAAATTGCCTGCGCTGCCGACGTCGCTGCTGCCACACACACGTACACACTTTCTCTCTCTTTCTCATGGTGTAGAGTTTCGCTCTTAGTTCGAAAATGAAGAGCGCTGGCAGGCGCTAGGCCTGAAGCGCTGTTATCAGCGTCTTATCAATTCCTTTTATTGTTGGGATAGGACCTACACATAGGCAGCAAACTAAATGTGGTTGTGTGTGTGAAATAGGAAATTAATATGGGGAAAGTAATTAATTTTTGATTGTTATTAATATTTGATATATTTAGATATATTTTTATAGTAGTTAGAAGTAGTATGTGAAATATGTAGGATATTATCTGTCAATTTTTGGCCATAATCCCCAGAAAGATTTGTTAAAAAGAATGCTTAAATCTGAAGAAAAATCGGCAGAGACTAAAATACTTTTTACTGTTATTTGTTTGATCATAAATTTCTTAGAATATTTTAAAGTATTTTTAGTCTTAAGAAAAATCTATGAATTATTAAAGTACAGCTAATAGTCAGCTCTATGAATTTCGCTTTTCAAATATTCCTTACTCACTTTTTATTATGATTATTATTATCATTATTATTGCCCATACTATGCTTTTCCGGCACTGGGATTTGCTCTTTCCTGCCGGACTCACCGGCTGATAGCCAAATATTTTTGCAGCTTATGCAGAGCAGCTGCAGCTGAGGCTACTGTGTTCACTGCTAACAGCCAAACGGCCAAGAGGCAACTGCAACTGCTGCGGCGACTGTTGTCCACTTGTGGCAAATGTTCAACAGCTTTGGCGATAAGCCATCGCCCAAAAACTGCTGACAAGAAGCGAAAGACAACCTTTCAAATACTTTTTTTTTTTATTCTCTCGCTTTCGAAATGTGCCCGCGGCTTCACACACTCACCCACTCATACACACTCATACACGCACATGCAGAGAAAGAGACGAAAGTCGAGAGCAGTTGGGCAAATAGAGCAACAAAATCTGACCGAGCTAGTGAGACAACAACAATTCGAAGCTATGGAAATGCGGGTACTACAACTATAAGCTTAAACAAATAGGTGTGTGTGGGCAGCTACTCGTCATGGAGATACCCTGTATTCAGAGAAGTTAGCGTGCGAAGAAAAAATATAAAAGCTGCCTTACTTTGATACAGAAAATATAGAAGATATGTGAAATATGCATCCTGTAATGAATCAACTGCTTACATAGATACCCTATACAATTCAAATCGATTCGAATTACATGAGTATCTCTAATCCGATTTTTTTTATATCCATCTTCACTCAGACTTTTATCATACCCATCTCAAACACCCTCAAACAGGGTATGCTTAGTCATTGGCATTGCATTGCCAAGCGAGCAGAAAGCACAACCGCAATATATGCAAATGTCCGTTTCCGGCTATGTATTCTTGGCATTTTTCAAACAAAATGAACAATAGAAGCTCCGACTGCGAGCCAGCGCACAAAACATCAACAAAACTAAAAATATATAAAATAAAAACCAGTGCCAGAGTTGGCGCGTCGGCAGTACACGACTAGCGCATATCCATTGTCCTTATAATTTTCAATGTCATTAGCATTCGCATTGCCATAGTCAATATCATATTTAATATTGATTATTCAATAATATTGTCATCAACAACATCATAATCATTAGCTTTGCCATTGCCAATGTCACTATTATGATCATTATTCATTATTCATTATCATCATCATATACTTTCATTGATTAGCAAAAAATGTAAATCAAGTAAGACTTTAAAACTTACTTTAGTAGCAGCAGAGCCGAGAAGTGACAGATGGAACAAAAATTTCTTCTGAAATTAAAAAAACAGAAGATAAATATCTATGGGAACTTTTGGTGCGTTAATTTCTAGGCATACAAATGGTTATAAAACATAAAGTAATCTAGTCTGTAATATAATAAAATACTCCCATTGATAAATCCCATCTACCCTTCTCCCTTATATCTCCCTTATTTAGGGTATATAGAAATGGCTCTGCCAATGCCAACAAAGAAAGCCAAATGTGTTAGCAATACACTTAAGCAATATGCATAATACAATGGCCCTGCATCGTGTGCATACCATAAAAGCATGAAATGTTTGTAAAATTTAGAAATTTAAAAAATATACAAATTATTATTTTGATATATGCTGGCATTGCGACTTAAGCAGCTAAGTAAAATGACATGCCCTAGTTCTTGACTCTTTTTTTGGTAAATCACAAGTAATCTCTGAAGCATTAGCTATGCATTAATGAAAGGCATACATATATTTTTGGCACTCACTGTCTAATTGAGCTCAATGCCGAGCAACGTTCGCCTTGGTCACTGAGCTAATGAAGCAATAACAAATTCATAATTATGTATTAGCATTCATTTTGGCTCTCCCTCTCTTGCTCTCCCTCTTTCCCTCTCTCTCTCTTACTCTCTCAGTTTCCATTTCTCTGTCTCTTTTGCTGTCTGTGGGCCAAGCTGCTCGTAATTGACGCAATTACAAAATTGCAATCGTCTTATGCAACGACAAAGTAAACAAAATTTGCAAATTCAATTTCCGAGCACTTTTTACTCAGCGTAATAAATATATATTATAAATATATTTAACATCAAGTTCGATTAATTTGTCAATATGACGATGAAGAGGACAAAATAAATTTACGCTTCTTGGCCAACTTCAAGTTGAAGTGCATAAAGTGCAGCAGCAGCTCCTTTAGAGCTCTTGGCTCTAGCCATGCCTTTTAGCTGTCTCACCTGTCTCACGCTCTGCCTCAAATTTAATTTGTTGTAGACAACGGGTCAGGACCACAGACTGCGGAGCTGTAGGTCGAGCATGCTTAAACACGAAAGACAAATTAAAATGCACTTAGCGCTCGCTGGAAAAAAGTTGTGGAATGCGCCAGCAGCTGGCCAGAAGCTGATGTGCGGCTCGCTAAAGAGCTGCGGGCCAGCAGAAGGTTAAGCTCTGCGCTTCTCATTTTTAATACTCGCTCATTTTGGGGCTTAAGAAGGGAGTATTTGGGGCCTTAAGCGGCATTAGAGAAGAGATAAGAGAGGAGACTTTTAGAAATCTCTATACTAAATAAATTTGATACGTCTATTTGGCTCTCTTTTAATCAGCTACAACTATATTCCAATACTTTTAAGCTTGAACTATCAAGTTTTATAGTTAGTTAATAGTAAGTAAGCTATATAGTTCACATATTCTATCTTATATTTAACAGTCGATCGATCAACTTTCACATTATTTTCATCTTTGCTTCCAAAACTTTTCAAGCATGAACGCGTATTTTGCTGTCGCTCAAGCTCATCTGCAATGCTCGTACTTGACTTTTTACTTCAGGAAGTCTGACTATTCCTTTCGCATATAGTACATCTATCTAACGTACATACATAGCAGACATCATTAGTGACAGGCCAGCTGAGCAGCTAAAGACAAGGCAAAAGTAGCACAGTTTAAAGCAAATCTATTTATTTTATGGGTATACAAATTAAAGAGTTGTTACATATGAAAACATAACCCAATGGGACTGTATAAAACAATTTTTGTATTATATTTTGATAGACTTATCAATGTAATATAAATAAATTAAAATAGTTCGAAATAAAAAAGTTAATTATGAATCCAAAACTTAAATAAAAAACTGAAATAATAAAAATAAATTAATTATGAAATAAATAAAAAAAAAAATAAGTAAAAAATGAAAAAAATTAGAAATATAAAATAAGAAAAAAATAAGAAAAAAAAATTTTTTTAAATTAAAAAATATATTAAAATTAAGAGTGTCAAAATATTTGACAAAAAAAAAAAAAAAAAAAAAAAAAAAATATATATATATATATATATATATATATATTTTCTATTTTATCATATTAAATTATTATTTATTTATATATTTAAGAAAAATCTTCAGTATTTGTATTCCTTTCTCATATTTATATTCCACTAAGTTTAAATGTTTATATTTATAAAATCTTAAATTTGAGCTTAGATATACAAACATGTCGACATATGTATGTATATACCTACACATATAGATACTTATATACATATATATGTATGCGTTTATATCTACATATAAACATATGTTTATAGACATTAATCTTTAGTGCCTCGCTCAGCCACTTAAGCATTATGCGAGACATTAAGCGAACAGCTCTTAAATTGCACTCCGACCACTAAATGTTATTAAAATGGAAGCTGGACTGCATTGCGCGTTCGCGGCTGCAGTTGACTGCTCTAATCGGGCTTATGGTCAAGGTGGCTTATCTATTGCCATGCCAACAAGTGGCAATGGCAGCATAATGAAGCAGCTTAAATAATAAAATGCTCCAGCACCTGACGCAAGGATTGACGGACAGGTAATGAAAAGGGCCAGACAGACAGACAGAAAGAGAGAACGAGAGAGAGAGAGAGAGAGAGAGAGAGAGAGAGAGAGAGTCAGCTTGTAAATGGTGTAAAATAAAAGCATAGTTAATCTGATAATGTCGCCCACTGGCAAAAGTCTGAAAGGGCGTCCATTGTTCAAATATATTAATAATAATCAGATCTAATAAGCGATTCGCATAAACAAGCAAACAAGTCCTCAGACCGGGGTCTAAGGCTAAATGTGTTTATCCCAACTATGAAAACAAGTTGGCTTTTTGCGCATTTCAGTTTGGGTCAAATGTAGACCACGCAAGAGAGAGAAAGAGAGAGAGAGGTGGTGTTAGAGTGCGAAAGAAA